AAAAAATTATTATTATAGTAAATTTATGTAGCAATACATTTGCCAGTTCAACATTTTTTACATGTACAAGTCAGTGATATTAATTATATTCATCATGTTTTATAACTACCACCACTCTCTGTTTCCTAATTTCTATTAAGAATTATGGAAAAGTGTTGGGAAAGTTTTTGAAACAAATTAAATTTAGATATAGAGATAGTCAAGTTTTCTGCTTCGTTTTTTGCGATTTTTGTAAGTGGTATTTTTGAAGGTATTTGTCCATTTCATCTAAGTTGCCAAATTTATTGACACTTTTTTTTTTCCGAACTATTCTCTTATTATCCTTTGAATATCTGTAATATCTGCATTGATAACTCTTTTTTTAAATTATTATCCTGATATTAGTGATTTCTTGCTTTGACTGACCTAAGGGTTTTTCAATTTTGTTGATCTTTTCAGAAAGCAGTTTATTTTCATTAATTTCCTAGTGGCTTGTCTGCTTTCTCTTGAGTTGATTCTAATCTTAATGTTACAATTTTAACTTTTTCTTTATTTTAGCTTTTGCTCCTCTTTTTTTTCTGAGTCTAAAATCCAGTTAAAGCAACAAGTGTCCGTCTAAACACTGCTTTAGTTTTGCTCCACACACTCTGCTATGCTGTGTTTTTGTTATCATTAAGTTCAACGTACATTCAGATTTCATTTGTGATTTCTTCTTCATCCTATGAATTATTTAGGAGTGCTTTTTTACTCTCTAAATATTTGAAGTTTTCTATGTTTCTTACTACTATTGGTTTCTAATCTAATTCCATTGGGTCCAGAGAACATCCCCTATGTAATATCAATCCTTTAAATTTTACTGAGAATGGTTTTATGGCCAATTTTTGCAAACGTGCCATGTGCACTTAAATATTTATTCTGTAATTGTTGGATATAGTATCCTACAAATGTCAATTAGAAGGCGGCTGATAGTGTGTTTAAATATTCTGTCTTTTTTGCTTTTCTAAAAAAATATCTAAATATTCTACCAATTGCTAAGAGAGATCTTAAAGTCTTCTGGGATTACGAAATTATGTAGTTCTCCCTTTAAAACTATAAATTTTTCCTGTCTATATATTGATTCTCTGTTGATAGGTGTATACCTAATTATGATTATGTTATCCTGATGAATTATTCTATTTATCTTATGAAATATTTTTATATCTGATATTATTTGTCTGAAAGTCCATTTGCTCTAATATTATTAGTGTCTTTTCAGCCTTTATTCCCTTAGTATTTCTATCTTTTTTTTAAATCCATTTTCTTTCTATCAATTTGCTTTCATATTTAAAATGCATTTCTTATTGGCAGCGTTTATAGTGGTTTTTCTTTTATCTACTCTGACAATTTCTTACTTTTGATTGGCATGTTTATGTCATTAATATTTAAAGATTAATATTTAAGTACTTGGGTGTATGTTATTTTATTAACTGTTTTGCTTGTCCCCACAGGTTTTTGTTTGTTTGCTTGCTTGCTGTTTTCCTTGTTGTTCTCCCTGTCCTTTCTTGCCTTTTTATTGTGTGTGTGTGTGTGTGTGTGTATATTATATATGTATATGTATATATATATATAGTTGTTGTTGTTGTTGTTATTTGCCGTTGAGTCAGACCCAACTCATAGCGACCCCTCCTTGGGTTTCCCAGGCAGTATCACTACGGAAGTAGATTACCCTATCTTCCATACATATATATATATATATTTGGTATTAGAATATTTTTTAGGATGCTATTTTGACTTATATATTAGTTTCATAGCTGTACCTCACTGTAGTTTTAAATGGTTGTTCCAGGGACCACAGTATATACCTCTCATTGTTCTCATACTTCTTAGAGTTAATATTGTATCATTTTGTGTAAAATTAGAAAACTTGCTATCATATACAACTCTGTTACACTTATTTCACCATGCACACATTGTCACATGTAGTACAAATGCATCGAAGCCTCATAAGACATTTGTTATAATTTCAGTTTTAAACAGTCATAGGAATTTTATAGGATTTGAGGACAAATATTTGTCCAGATATTTACCATTTCCATTACTCTTCGTTGTTCCTGAAGATCCAGATTTCTCTCTGGAAATATTTCTATTTAGTCTGAAGAATGTATTAAGCATTTTTTATAGTGTATGTCTGCTGGTGATAAACTCTGTATGTTTTTCATGATCTGAAATATCTTCATTTCACCTTTATTCCTAAGGATACTTTCACTTGATATAAAATTCTTCACTGACAGCTTTTTTTGTTTCAGTATTTTCATGGTATACACCCATTCCTCACTTACCAACATGATTAGATTCTAAAGATCAGGTCATTATGTGAAAATAAGTGCTACGTGAAAATGGAGGACAACCACATCAGATCACAAAATGGAAGATAATTACATCATTACATAACTGCCAAACAATGTTGACATGTGGCCTTAACTATCACAGACAGCATTACTCTTGTCTCACACCTTGGCATTCATTATTGTCAGACATACATTGTCAATGTGCGAAATATTTGGATAGTAGATATTTGACTACTATCATAAATGCAAAATGTCAGCTGAGTTGGTCGTTAAGTGAGGAGTAAGTGTAGTTTCACTGTCTCTTGACAGTTTCCAATGCGATATCTGATTATTTGCATTGTTTGCAAGATATTTGCATTACGTCCGAATGATTATACTTTAATTATTTCTTTAATTTATTAATTATTACTGTATCTATTGAATATTTGTTTTTCTTTTGACTAGTACTACATTTTTCTCTTATCTTTGGGCTTTCAGTTTGGTCTATTATATGTCTAGTTATGTTTTTCTTTGCTTTTTTTTTTTTTAAGATTTTTGAATCTGTACATTTATGACTTCCACAACATTTTGGATGTTTTTGGCTTTTAATTAAAGTCCCCCCAGCCCCCGCACCAGACCCATTTTCTCTTTCTTCTCTTTTTCTGGGACTCCAAATACATATTTATTAGACTTTTTAATATTTTAACACAGTTTCCTCAGGATCTATTTTTTTCCAACTGCTCTCTCTATTGGATGATTTCTTTTAAACGGTCTTCATATGTGCTAACTTTTGGATCCTTCATCTTTCTTCTGCTATTAAGTCCATCCAGAGGGGTATATTGATTCTCAATTGAGATTCACTGTCATTTCCTTCATTTCAAGCACATTTTCTTTTCCTAAAAGAGTATAATTTTAATAGCTGCTTTAAATTCCTTGTCTAATACTTCCAATATTTGGTTCATCTCAAAGTTGGCATCCATTTATTGTTTTCTTCCTTGAGAATGGGTCACTTTTTTTCAGGTTCTTTCTATGCTAAGTAAGTTTGGATTGTATATGGTACATTGCAAATGTTACATTCTATAAATTCTGAGATTTGTTACAGAGAATATGTATGCTTTTGTTAGTTAGACTCAGACTTAACGCTGTCTTGCTTTCTGTAGGTGATGGTCAAATCTCATTCAATTCTTTAATGCTTTGCTTCACTGTTCTGAGTTTATCCCAGAGTTTTGAGTCTATGCCATGCACACTGTATTGAGAGGTAAGCCTTAGTCTTATGTGGGTCAGTACACAGAATGAGGGGTTCTTCTTTGGCTCTCTTCTCTGTGGAATAGACCCCTCCCTCTTCAGTGGTTGCTTGAAATTCTTTCCCTGATCCATTTAGCCAGAAAGGCCTCAGAGTTTCTATTTCCAGTCACCTGTACCATGCTTCTCTGTGGCAGTAGCATAAACTCAGGGAAGACACAACCAAAAATTAAAATAAGAGCAAAGCCCACTGGTATTCCAATTGCTTCTTCAAGTTTTGACTCTTCTGCATTCCACAGTCTGCCTGCACTTGTTTTCAGTTCAGAATCCTCACATAGCTGCCTGCTGTATTTTGTCCATAGTTTATAGTTGTTTTCAATAGGAGAATTGGTTTACACAGAGATTATTCTGCCGTACTAGAAGGTCAATTTCCCAATTAAGATCTTGCAAAGAAAAATTACTCTAGCTAGTGATAATAAGAAATTTTGAAAATTAAAATATGAGTCAGAATTCTAGACTCAAATGCATATTTTAGTCTTCTAGTTAAGATTCTGATATTTAACTTGCTTTGTGACCTTTTCAAATTTTATGAGTCACAGATGTTTTATCCTTAAAATGGGGACAGTGATTTCATCTCTGCCAATATCACAAATATGAAGATAGAATGAAATCTTGTTCTGATTATAATTTTTTCCCCATTAGTTCAAGCCCTCAATATACATTTTCAATGCAACCTATGCAATTGCAATAAGTTCTTAACTACTCACCACACCCTCAGGTTTATTGTTATTGTTATTGTTGTTTTGTTCTAATCCAAGAAATATATCACTGCCAAAGTAATCTTTTTAAACTATAGCTCAATAAAGTTAATTTTCTACACACAAACCCCCCTTCAATGATGGCTACTTATCTTTGTGCATTTTTAATCTGTCTTCCACATTTAGGGTTTCTTTCCTAAACTTTGAACAACCTCATCTCATTGAACTATATATTTCTTTTCTATGATCTTTTCTAAATCTATCATAATCATGATTTATTAATCTTAAATGTTCACCTTCCACATATCTCTGGTTATCTAAATGTCTTTTTCTTGAGATCCACTTCAAATACTGTGTTGGTTCATTTATAGCTCTGGCAATGCATTCATTCTCTTTCTTTTTCACTTTCTCCTGGATGACTGAATTTTTCCCTCTATCTTTTTGGTTAATTTCATTTATAAGTTATAATGTCTCTCATAATAATGATGATAATAAAGAATCTTGCTTTAATCCATATTCTTCTCCACTTACCATCCATATCTCTTGCATTCCATTTTTAGAAAACTTGAAAGGATTGTCTATTTAGAATTTTCAATTCCTCTTCTTTTATTTTCTCTTCAATAAGTATTTATTTCTACCAAATCACTGAACATGTCATTGTCACTACCCACTGTCATCAGATTTACTCTGACTCATAGTCACCCTATAGGACAGAGTAGAACTGCTCCATAGAGTTTTCATGGTTGTAATCTTTTCAAGAGGATTGCCATATTTTTTTCCATGGAGCAGCTGGTGGGTTTAAACCACCAACCTTTTGATTAGCAGCTGAGTGCTTAACTATTGTACCATCAGATTTCCTTGTTCTTGTCACTAGTGACTTCTATAGAGCTAAATCTAATAGTTAATTCTCAGTACTCATATTACTCAATTTATCAGTAACATTTGAAAGAAGTAATCAATCCCTTATCCTTGGGAAACTTTTTTTCACTTATGTCTGAGGATAATACACTTTCATTATATTCCTCCTATCTCACTACTTTCTTCTTATTATTTTCTTTGTATTCCTGACTTCAAAACATTGGGGTTACTCATTAGGCCTCTTTTATAACTGTACACACTGTATTGATGATATCATCAAATCTTATGGCATTAAACACCAAATCTTGGCCTATCCTTGCCCCTGAATTCCACTCATCTATCCAAGGGTTGACTAAACTTGACTCCCTGAAAGGTATCTCAAACATACATGTCTAAAAATAAACTCATCTTCATACCAAATCTGTTCCTCCACAATCTTACCTATTTTAGTTATGACAACTTTATTTTTCTAATTCAATCAACTAAAAAACTGATGTCATCTTTGACTCAATTTCATTCTCTCACATCTCATATTCAGTCCATGTGGAAATCTGTTTACTTGACTATTTATATTGTATAAGAAAATCTGTCACTTTCTTACCACCGTTGCTACCCAAACTCGGATCCAAGCCACCATCATCTCCTACTTGGATGTTTGTAGTAACCTCACAATTGATCTCCTTACTTTAATATTTGTTCACTTAATTTTCATTCTGAAGAACTAATCACAGTTCCTTTCATCAGGAGCCATCCAGTTGGTTCTAAATCATAGTGACCCTGTGCACAACAGAATGAAACACTGACCAATCCTGGGCCATCCTCACAGTCACTGCTGTGATTGAGTCAGTTGCTGCAACTGTGTCAAACTATCTTTGAATGTCTCCCCCTTTTTTGTTGGCCTTCTACTTTACCAAGCATGACATCCTTATTAAGGGACTGATTTCTTCTGGTAACATGACTAAGTATGAGAGACAAAGTCTGGCCATGCTCACTTGTAAGGAACATTCTGCCTGTACTTCTTCCAAGGCAGATTTGTTTGCTCTTCTGGCAGTCCCTGGTATAGTCAATATTTTTCACCAACACCATAATTCAAATGCATCAATTCTACCATAGTTTTCCTTAGTCATTGTGCAGCTCTCACATGCTGTGTTGGATTGGGTTCTCTAGAGAAACACAAAAACCAGCAAAGTATATATATATATATATATATTTATAGAGAAAGAAAGAGAGAGAGAG